AAATAACTTTACTGCATGAGCAAACAAAATCTTACACTGCATTGGACTGTCATTGCAGCTAAAGTGTCTAATAAAAATGTCACAGCATCGAGAATAACAACACTACAGCTACAGTAGCTCTAAATGCAATATACATGTAATTTAGAGAGCAATTTTTAGAATATAGACAAGTTACATATGTGTCATGTCAAGCTTCTGAATCTGTCAAGCTTTTATTCACGTTGTTATACATACTATACGAAAGTATTCCCACCCTAAGTATATGATCCAAAAATCTGCTCACTCACTGCAGATTGCTAAAATTAAATTGAATTTGTGTATGACACTGCACTGAGCTAATCCAGTAAGCTTTCCATGAAACAATTATGCAATGTAACAAAAACTGATAATGTGTCAACTTCAAAACTAAACAATATAGAAATCAAAAGAGATACCGAGCACAAACATTTAGGACTCATTTTTGACCCATGTTTATCTTATGATAAGCATATTGGTGATTTACTAGTCAAAATAAGAAAAATGTTAAACCCATTAAAGAAACTCAAATTCAAGCTTGGGAGCAAGCACCTAGAAACAATCTTCAAATCATTCATTCTTCCTCACTTTGATTATGGTGCCATTTTATATGGCACAGCTTCCAAATTTCTTTTGCGAAGACTCGATAGTCTATATTACACAGCGGCACTCTATTGTTCTGGCTGCATCCAAGGGAGCAGTACAGAAAAGGTCCTAAGTCTCCTAAACTGGCCAACACTTGAATCTAGACGTAGAATACAATCAAATAATTTTATGTTCAAAGTTGCCAATGGTACAAGTCCCTCATATATCACAGACATTTTTGATAAGTATAGTAATGTTAGGAATAGAAACTTGAGATACATTGATCCATTCAAAATGCCCATAAGATGCTCTGCTAGATTCTCATCCTCAGCAATACCTTCTGCAATCTCAAAATGGCTAGAGCTCCCCCTTCTATTAAAACCAAGAAAACTCTTCATAATTTCAAAAAACACCAACGGCTTTTCCTCCAAAACCCCTCTAAAATTTTGACCACAAGTCAACTCAATCTTTCTAGACAGCATGAGATAGTGGTGAATAAAGTAAGAGCTGACTTATTTTTTAAAGCTCAATTTTATGCCCATAATTTTAACTCTGTTGACAGCCCTAATTGTGCTTGTGGCAGCTCTCAAACCTTAAAGCATATTCTTTTCCAGTGCAATCGCTTAACCTTAGTAAGACAGGATCTCTGGGATAAACTTGCTGAATTAGAACCTTCTCTCAATAATAATCTTCCCCAGTACGATTTTATATCCATTTTGAAAACAGGAAGCCCAAACTTAAGCATAGATGTAAACTCTAAAGCCATTTCACTGATACTTGACTTCATTATAGACAATAGCTAATTCCCTCCCTCATGTCTCTCTTTCTGATATCCTGTTGTCCTGTCACACCTGCTCCGGTCCGGGACCCTGTCTGCCTGCCACCCCCAGCCTCTCACCATTCCTATATAATGCCCTCTGGCGATTTAGGGATGCTATTGTAATTGTATTTAAACTATATCAATGAAATAAATAAATAATAATAATAACTAGACTTTGGAAATTGAACGAAGTTCAATTTCAGACTCCAGATCTAGACTTTTTTAGCTCAGTCATCTAAAATAAGCCGAGTCATCCAGAATAAGCTGAGTCATCCAGAATAAGATGGATGGATAAAATAGGAAGGTAGGATAGGATAGAATGGGAAGGAACGATAGGATAGAATAAGAAAGAACGATAGGATAGAACAGAATAGGAAGAAAGGATATGATAGGAGAGGATAGGAAGGAAAGGATACGAAGGAAGGACAGATAGGAAGGATAGGATCAGATAGGAAGGATGGATGGATGAATTTTTCAATATTTTCTTCTCTACTCTTGACTTTCTATCAGGATACCATCAGATCAATTTTCCGAAATTTCAAAACGCCATAACTTCCGAACCGGAAGTCGGATCGAAATTTGATTTAAAGATTCGGATTTCTGACAAAATTCTACCCTTAATTCATAACTCATACGTTAAATTTGGCGAATTTTTATTTTGACCTACTTTTTGGACACGCCATAACTTCGGAACCGGGAGTCGGATCGAAATTTGGTTTGCAGATTCGGATTTCTGAGAAAATTCTTTTCTTAATTCATAACTCAAACGTTAAATTTGGAGAACTTTTTTTTGACCTACTTTTCGGACACCATATCTCAAAAGTTGGTCAAAATACTTTCTGACGGCAAAAGGCTAACGCTATTAGCATACTCTTGGCTACATGTATGCACAATTTCGAAGAATATCATTAAAGTGTAGTGTCAGAATCGCAAAAATAAGAAAAAACTTTGAATTTGACCTAGATTTTGACCATAGGCATTTTGGTGTCCAAATTTTGAAGCTATGTGGCTTTTGAGGTCCCCTTCTTTTAAAGGCTTTGATTATACGAAGCTGAACTCAGTCTACATTTCGTATTCTTCACTTCAAAAAAATCTTTTTTCCCATTGACTTAACACATGGGCACCAAATTTAGCGATTTTTGAGCTTTCAAAATGCCATAACTTCTGAATAGGAAGTCGGATCGATATTTGGTTTGCAGATTCAGATTCCTGATAAAATTCTACCCCTAATTCATAACTCATACCCTGAATTTGGAGAACTTTTGTTTTGACCTATTTTCTGGACGCCATATTTCAAAATCACTAAGAGTAATTGAAAAAGAACAGTGACACTTATGAAAGGGCTTTTTCTAAGCTACATGATGAAAAAAAGACGAAGACGTTTCGATATATAACGAAGAAGATAATTGATAGAATGTTGAAAATGTAAGATTTGACCTAGTTCTTGACCTTTGACCTAGATAAAAAATTGACCCAATTTTCGAGAAACTAGATACTGGACCTAAATTTACCATATACAGGACTTGACTCAATGTCTTCTAGTTAAGGAGAAAACGTGGGTAGAAGAATAACAATTTTTTTTACTTTTCTTGACATTCTATAAGGGTACCATCAGATCGATTTTTCTCGAACTTTCAAAACGTCATAACTCCTGAACCGGAAGTCGGATTTCAATTCGGTTTTCAGATTCGGAATCCTGAGAAAATTTCCTATAAGACTGATATCCTCGATATTGGATTCGGAGAACTTTTTTTTGGACCTCGTTTTCGGACACTGATATCTCGAAATCGGTTTGAGATATCAAAAACTAAATTGACCCTAGATTTCCTACTTTTTTATAAGGAACACGATGAAAAAAACCCGGATCGAAAATATTGAAGGACGACCGAGAAAATCGAAAAAAGTGACAAAGTACTGGATTTGACCTAGTTCTTGACCTTTGACCTAGATAAAAAATTGACCCAATTTCCGAGAAACTAGATACTGGACCTAAATTGACCATGTATAGGTCTTGACTCAATGTCTTCTAGTTACTGAGAAAACGTGTAGAGAAAAATAATAACTAGACTTTGGAAATTGAACGAAGTTCAATTTCAGACTCCAGATCCAGACTTTTTTAAGGCCAGTCATCTAAAATAAGCCGAGTCATCCAGAATAAGCCGAGTCATCCAGAATAAGATGGATGGATAAAACAGGAAGGTAGGATAGGATAGAATGGGAAGGAACGATAGGATAGAATAAGAAAGAAGGATAGGATAGAACAGAATAGGAAGAAAGGATATGATAGGAGAGGATAGGAAGGATAGGAAGGAAAGGATACGAAGGAAGGATAGGATAGGATAGGATCAGATAGGAAGGATGGATGAATTTTTCAATATTTTCTTCTCTACTCTTGACTTTCTATCAGGATACCATCAGATCGATTTTCCGAAATTTCAAAACGCCATAACTTCCGAACCGGAAGTCGGATCTAAATTCGATTTAAAGATTCAGATTCCTGACAAAATTCTACCCCTAATTCATAACTCATACATTAAATTTGGCGAATTTTTATTTTGACCTACTTTTTGGACACGCCATAACTTCGGAACCGGAAGTCGAATCGAAATTTAGTTTTCAGATTCGGATTTCTGAGAAAATTCTATTCTTAATTCATAACTCAAATGTTAAATTTGGAGAACTTTTTATTTTGACCTACTTTTCGGACACCATATCTCAAAAGTGGGTCAAAATACTTTTTGACGGCAAAAGGCTAGCGCTATTAACACACTCTTGGCTACATGTATA